ATTATGAAATGTAATCTCATTTTGGATACTGTATAGTGAGAATCAATTATTCTTATATTAGATGATTCACCTCATGTACGACGGTTGAGATTCAATTTTAATTTTAATTTTTGTATAAGATTTTATGGATAAACACATATATTTTGGTGTGAATGAAAAATTGTATCTGAAAACTTCAAGTTTTTAATTCATGTCGAATATCAAAATCCAACAAAGTCATGCACTTTAGGCAATTGTGGGAGTGAGAAGAAAATAACCACATTTGAAATGTTCAGATTGAAGAAAATTAATAATACATCTTTTATGCCTAGACTTTGGAGTCACATTTCAAAGTTTGGAATATGAATTATTGGTAGATTCCAACCAATTCTAATGAAAGATTAGAAGTGTTCATTAAACTCGTTTTCTCACATCAAAATGAATCAAGATATGTTGTGATGTTCTCACACCAAAAGTTGTTATGTACTTGATGTGTAGTGAATTGTTAATTTATTATGTATGTTACATTTTTTATACTTTTGTTCTTGTGCTTTACAATCTTATACAAATAAAAATCTACTGAGGTAAAATAAATATTTTCAATAATTAATCTGTGTATTAGTAAAATTGAGGTTTTGATTTAGGATTTATGAAGTACTAATCATTTCTTTGATTCTTTGTTTAATGATAAATTTACTATTTTTTAATTACTATTTGGTCAAAGGAAATTACACTCAATAATAGCAAATGAATTTGGCTTGAGAGTTACAGTAATTTATTTAAAAACATAAAATCCACAAAGAGAAAGAAAAGAAAAAAGAATATGAACTTATATATATATATATGTGTATACAAATATTAAAAGAAAATCAAGTTGTTAAAAATAATACATGCATACATACATACATAAAGAAAATCAAGTTATTAAGCACAGAACAATATTGGTGTGTTACTGACCAAATTATGAAAGCAATAAATTGATGCCTTCAATCCTTGAAGCTCCATCAGAGTAAATATTTCTGAATTAGAAATGATCAAAACTTGAATTTTTCAATACATTTCAATATACCTTACTATATATCACTAAACCGTATGCAAAATTGACAGTGGTGCATTATTGTAATAAAATAATTAAAACTGTAAATTCAATAACAATAATAATAATAAATATATAGAAAATATATATAACCCATAAGTTGCAAAGCATTTGTTTAATTTAACTTAATTTAAATTTTCTTCCTTTGTATGATAAATAGCACAACATTGATAAGCAAACACTTCCATGAGAATGCAAATAGAAAATTACTCTGAACTTGTTTTGCCTCTCTCTCTCTCTCTCTCTCTCTCTCGTTTCCCTTTATTTTCCTGTCTCCATGTTTCAAAGGAAATAAAGGAGACAGTCAACGTCCTTCCTTGTCCGAACGGGGGGGGGGGGGGGGCTGCCAGAAATGCGACTTTTGAATCCCCCCGCACCAAAAATGGGATGCGGAGGTGGTTTGTCGGTATGCAGCCATGGCGTGGGTGGGCCTCGCCGACAGCCCAGCAGCATGACACCGGCGCCACTTGGAGCATCAAACCTCATTGTGAATGCATTCCTTATTGGCCAGTGAACTCGCAACTCAATTCAGCAACATGAAGTTGTCGACTCAAATGAGAGATGAAGAAGCTCCTTGAGTTTCCACAATCCTCCCTCCCTGCCGAGCTGCAACAAGTTGTGCCTCGGGGAAGTCAGTTCACAAAACCAGGAACATGAATTCCGGTACCCATTTCAGTTCAGAAGCTTTAAGAGTAACCATTTCCTCGGCAGGGAAAGCGGGGGTTGTGTTATTGCTGTGCGAGGGTATCACCCGAAAATGAGAAACGACCCACAGCCAGTAAAGAAAGACCTGCAACCTCGAGGAAAGGAATGCAAGGATCGTGCAGTGTTGAGAGAGAGAAACCAACTTCTAGACCATTCCACACGTAAAAAACAGTGGGTCATGGCCGAGGGCATGAAAATCTGGCAACACCGAGTCTCATGGCACCAAGTTTCTCCAAAGATGGCCACAAAACTCAACCAGTGGGTGGCTATTTTTATATCACTGAGACCATAAAATTGTGTTTGTCCACATGGTGTCAATTTTTCAAGCAAACTAAGACATCACACCACCCTTGGAATAATGCAAAAAGAACATGCTGATTCGGAAGAAAGTCTCAAGGGGTTATTACAAGGACCAGAGAAATTCTTGGTTTGAAGCTCTGCATTGAGCCATGAATTATGCGACTCCTTTAACCTTGTTAATCTCTGAATGGAATGATGCGAGCCTCACAGAAACCAGATTCATGTCTTTGTGGGTTGTAGGTCGAAGGAGTTGGCTTTTCGACAGCAGTTGAGGGAGGATGTCTGCATGTTTGAGCATGGAAACCCTGACATCTCTAAACCAGTAAAAACTATGTGAGAGACTAAGTTTTTTTTATATTATTTATTTATTACATTGCTAATGTCATCACAATTTTTGTTACTCCCATCACAACCTGCAACACACTTGATATATATATATATATATATATACATATCATTTTTTCTAAAATTTATTTTAAATCTTTTTTTTTGTTTATATATATATATATTGAATCATGATGAAATGATTGTGGTAGAAGTAGTAAAACAATAATTTTGACTAAAATTGGAGTAAAACTTTTATAGGATTGTGGTGGCATTAGTAATACTTTTTATTTATTGTAAAATTGTATCTACATAAGCAAACATATTAGAAGAAATAATTGTTGTTGACTTTGTCTTTGGATTTATTTTTTATTTTATTTTATTTCTTTTAAAAATAAATTATTCTTAAAATGCATTCATCTTCAGATTTGTAATAATGTAATTGGTACGCTTGAACATAGTTGCTATTGTGTTCAGTTTGGTCTTTGTATCTTATAAGATTTTAATGTATTTGAGTCATTTTAAAAATAATTTGAGCTTGGTTGTTTGTTCATTATGACTATTTTGATTGTTTTAGTTTAAAAGTGAAAAATATATTAGGTGTCTTTTTCTAATTTTTTTGGGATAATTGAATATATAATCTATTTATTAATTATTCACTTGAAAATAATGTGTTAAAATTTTTTAGCAAATTTTTAATTTTTGTACAATAAAAATTTAATTAAAATAAATAAATAAATAAATATAAATATATATATATATATATATCCCAAACAAAAAAATTACAATTTTTTTTACAAACAAGCATAAAATATTGTAAATATAGCCAAGCAGTAAAATAAAGCACATATATGATATCAATAATTTTTTTATAATACCTCATTATATCAATATGTATGTATATTTCTAGATTATATAATTAAAATTTAAGATTTTAAAAAAACTTATATACACAAAGTTTATTTAAATAATCTTGCTTGTAATGCTCTTATACATTAAAGTTTTTATGTCCTACATATCTAAAGAACTATTTCTTTATCAATTTTTATATAATATTATTACTACTCATGTGAATTAAGTATTTTTGTTTAAACTTCTATTCTTGTATATATCAAGGAATAAAAAATTTCTTGATTAAAAATTTATCAAAGAATTTTTAATACTTTATTATAATAAAAATAAACTTAAGTTTTATGTATGTATGTATGTATATATATATATATATATATATATATATATATATATATATATATATATATATACTTAAAATTATAAGTAAAATAAATAAATATTCTAAATACAGTCAATAAAATATGTATAATTTTTAATAATATATTATATAAATTAAAGTAATATTATAAATATAATAATTTATAAAAATATTAAGATATTTAATATATGATATATATTAATTCAAAATGGATATAATATTCAAAATAAAAATAAGATGGGCTAATATTAAAAACTTATAAGTTACATGAAAATACTATATAAGTTGTTTGAATTTAATAAAGCTTAATATTGCAAAATAAGAAATTTAATATGATTTTGAGGTATTTAATTTTTTTATAAAAAAATAGAATATAAATATTTCTTAATTACATTCTTATTTAATAAAGTCTTCTAAAAGTATCTTTTATTCTTTAATATATATTTAAAAATTAAAAGATATTTTAAAGATTTTTATTAGAAATTCGAAAAAATAGTATTTAATGTTAAAAAAGAAAATTGTAGTAATATTCTTTAAATTTTCTATATTAATTTTGGCCAATAAAATTATTTATTTATTTTAGCTAAGATTGTATCTTAATTTAATTACTTATATCTCCAAATTATTATTGCAATTAATTTTTATTATAAAATAATTTGCCAATGGTTTACAAATCCAATCCATAAACAAGAAATTTACAAAGCAATTATAATAGTTTTTTTGCATACAATATTGTATGTGTATCTTATGAGATATTTGTGAAACTTATGTATAGTATATTTTTTATATGACCAATGAACCATGAGGTGGTAGTTGTAGAAAGAAAACAACATCACATAGACATGAAACTTCATTAAAGTCAAAATGGAATCAAAATGGCTACCTATATATTGCAATCTTTGACCACTTTTTAAAACATGTATAGGACCAACACCAACCAAAATTATAAGAGATAATTTAGCATCTTGCTTCCTTCTATGCAATTTGCATCCTCCCTAGGAAAGCTATATGATAACACTTATTTTTTTATTTTTTTATTTTTTAAAACTTTTATAATGATTCTTTTTTCAATTATTTTTATGATCTACAATATTTTATTATAAGATTTCCAAAAATCTTATCTTTGACCTATTTTTCTCCTTTGGCACCAATAAAATATATACAAAAAAACAAAACAAGTAGGTTAAAGTAAGAGAGGCAACGAAGTGAAGAAAAAAACTATAAATTCAAAATATGAAATGTACTCAAATTGCATTTGAATATATGCCATTATTGACATTTAAAAGATAGCACACACTCCTTCAATTTCCACAAAAGATAAACAAATTTACAACAAAGAACTGGAAGTGCACAATAACTCCACCCAAAAGAAACACCATACAGAAGACCATTGAAATCACAGTTCCTTCTTGAATTGATCAACATAACAGATAAAATTAGAAGCAACAGGTTTTCTATCCACAATCTATGAAATAATTCAATAATATTCTGCTGGAATTCCAGCTTGAATATTAGGACCTATTTACATCCTCCGCAGACGTGCCGAATCTAATCACCTGCTCTGACTATTACACAAAACCACGTTCAGAAAATGTGCAATACATTCTCTCCTTGTAGTGACAAGAAGCACATACGGAGATCCTATTTAGGAGAAATTGGCACATGATATCTGAGGGTTGTAACGTAAATAACGGATAGACATCTAAACATATTCCTGGAGATGTGCTACGGAGTCGTCTACTTTGGCACAAAATTACCTCATGAAATAAAATAAAATAAAAAAACAAACTATGATGTGGGTTTCTCTTCTCTTTCTTGTCTTGGAAAAACCTGCTCCTCAGTCTTCTCTTCACCCCTCGTCGGGGTTGCTTGTTCTTCTACTGTCTCTTTATCATCTGAGTCTGCGACAGGTTCATCAGTCTCCTGGTTCTTGTTTGATGGCGTAGGAACCTCTTCAGAGGCCTTAAACTCTGTAGATTTTTTACGCACTTTGACTTTAGTACCACCTTCGATATTAGTGGAGGTTCGAGACAATAGGATAGCGTCCTTGTGTGGGAGATTCAGAAGCGGGATCTCATTTGTGTTCTCAGGCAAGGCTGATATCACGGATTTGCTACGAGTGTCTGTTTCAGCTTGGTTTGTGGCTTCTTCAGGATGCTGCTCTGATGCCGTTCCTTCTTTCATTGGAAGCATCTCTGAAGGAACGGCATTGCAGTCAATAACTACCCAAGGTTGACGCTCCTCTTGAAAAGTTCTGCATAGATCACAGAACTGTGATCAGTTCCTCCCTCATGCGCACAAAAAGACACAGATCATGTAAATTTCTATCTTTTGTGTGTGCATCAGAATTTAAGCAATCACCATCTCTTAGGATAAACACGTGCTGCTTGATCACACCACCCAGGCTCACATGTGTCAAGCATCAAGGACATCGACTAAAGATGCTCTGATATAACTCAAATTCAACTGCATAAGAACGAGCCTACGGGTGAAGATGAGGAACATACGGGTGCTTGCACAACATGGGTGTATGAAAAACCAGGATGTACTTGCAGGTAGGTGCCTCTTTGATGGAATTAATTAACATTCGACCTGTTTCTGAGCAAACAAACCTCACCTGTTCTACCAAGTATCAGTCTCAAGATCAATGTTAGTTTAACCTTTTTAGAAATACAAACAAGAGGTAGTTAACAATATCCACAATAATAATTCACACACAAGTACAGAAAAGCAGGAAATTTCACGATACCACTAGGAAGGAGAATGTATTAGGTTGGAAGCTGGAGGTGATGGCACCTCTGTATGACAGCGGTAGATCATCTGAGAACTTAACGAGATGATACGAGGACTGAAATTAAGCGTCAATCAGCGTGCATGAATTGATCAAAATCAGGCCAACAATAAAAATAACTGACGCATGTAACTTCCCAAAATGCATACCTCTGTTTCACGAGGTTGATTTGTAAGATCACAGATGGTACCGTTCGTGTAAACGTGCGCATGATATCTGTAAAAGATTCGGTTTTTATTCTTGTGAGGGGCAGATATGGCAGATGAACGAGTTTTATAAACGATGGAGGCACGTCGGGTGAGGGGCATACCGCTGTGCTGCACTTTCTGAGCGAAGGTCCTTCCGAAGAGAAACGTTAGGAGAATTTTTATGCAGGGCTGATGTCGCCTCTACATCATATGTGCCTAACACAAATTCTTGAACTACCTGCGCAATAAATGGTATCAAATGAAACGCTCAAAATTCGAAATCATATTCGCAGATTTGTAAGAAAACAAAAGCAGGACAGTGAAGATCTGTCATTATATATGGTAACAAAAAGTATTTTTTTTTAGAGAGGCAAGACGATGAAGAATAAGTTGAATCTGTCTACACTAACCCCGTATTCATGCAAGAACAGATTTCACTTGAGAAGCAATCAATTAACAAACCGAAAAGCCCACTTGCCTTAGATAAAATCCACAAAAATCCAGCATAAATAACTTGGAAACTCACAAGAAAAGCTTCAGTTAATAATATGAAATCCAGAGTGCAAAATGCGATCATATGTGCAATGTCTCGCAAATGAAGAACACCGCACCATCATAGATGCATGTGTGCAAACATGCTGGAACGGATTCCAATAAATGTGGTATTGCAACGTTGCAAAGACCAAAATGCCATTTGAATATATAGCAATGCAATGTGCACTGCACCGAAAATTGAGCACAAGAGTAATGAGGTTGATACCATCTTTCTATGGTTCTGATAGTCATGTGGAACCCTGAAAGGTTGCTTGACAAGAGTGAAAAAGTATACTACTGATCCGTGCTGCATGTCAGGTCCATATGTGCAAATTGGAGCCTGACACAATGCCAGGTCCGCAGAAATTGACCAACGGAATATAAGTTGCCAGTCAATGCATCAATCTAGGTCATGCTAAATAGAGCCTGTCTCATGCAAAACTTAGGTTGTATGTTGCTTACAATCCGAGGCTAAGGACACAATCAGAAGGCCACAACCTTGGATATGAGCAATACAACAGTCAAAGTATCATAAAAAATCATAAAAGTACATAACTACTCAGTCTGATATTCAGAACCTGAAAAGTCTCTCAACTTATCATACAAAAACTAGTTACCGTCCGCCCGGATCTGTGAATTCCTAATAATGATATCTAACATCAGAAAATTATCATATTATCATAACACAGTTCTAACATAAAAATAATCAAAAGGAATAAACTTGATGATCAAAAACATACTGGAGGGTAGGGCTCTCAGGAAATATTCACTATGAGTGCCTTATCTTAAATTTGTGATCTGCAATCGGACCTTAACCGTGACTTGCGGTATGATCCACTTCTGGCCTCATACAGGGTGATACAGATGATTTCACTCAAATACAGCAAGAGAACTGATACGACTTTGAACTTTAAGCTTGTTACAGTGGCAGTCAGCCAAGGTTACGCCATGGTCGAAAGCAAGAAAAAGAATAACTGTGGCACTAATCATAGTTACTATTCATGGATCATAATGTCAGAAACACATCCAAATCAAACTACTTGGGAACTACCCGAAGCAATTCGATCATTAGGATTTGAGGAAATCTGTATTCAACAAGCATTTACGAGATACCTCAATTTCTTTCTCAAAGAACATGTGCGCAGTACACCATTTAGCAACCACCTCACAAATATCAGGTCTATATGCTCACAACTTGTGGGTTAATGAAAGCTTACCTTATTGTCATGTAGATGAAACTGGCGCAAATGACCCTTGTAACAAAGCTCATAAATCCACCATCCCTCATACTGTAGCACACGAAGAAAATGTTACAAAAATAGCTTCTGAACACGACTTGATTCTATGCAGCGACCACCCTTGAAACAATCTCATCCCCACTTGCAATGCTAAATACTGGACGTCGTGACATACTCTAAAATTCAATTACAAAGAAGATCGAGTATACGATTAAAGCACTGAAGGTATTTAAAGGAAAGAGGACGAAAGTAGAAAATTCCATATCATATCATGTTTTCATTGCTCGCATTACCGGCTGAAGGGAAATGGACTTACCCTGCGAAAACACTTGTCTTTGAGGATGTCAAGGAGATCTTCAGGAGTTTTACGAGCAGACCACTCATCTGCCACTATGCTGGTACTGGTATCAGTTTGTTGAATCTCATCCTTGTTCACAGCCTCAGTGCCTTCTGCCACGGGTAGGTTACAACGAAACTTCTTCCCATCTCTGTCCGTCATAACGATAATCTCCTGGTCCGAAGTCTGAAAATGACTTGCCACAAGACCATTCTTAACAAATACTTCCCATCAACCATGGTAAACAATCCGATAGTTCATATCAGAACCTAAGTACAGTAAGTGATTAATGGTGCAATTGGATCAGAGAAATAGACATGTTGCAATTTCTCAAAGCGTAATTAGCATGTTCTTTCCATAAGACAAACAGTAGACCTATCATGAACAGACTCTTCTCCTGAGTGCAAGTGGAATATATTCATGTGGTAATGTTGAGTATTGTTTATATCGTGGATGACCTTGATACAAATTGCTCGTCTAGGATTATGATTGTGATCACGAGATACGAATGTAGTTCAGTTCCAAAGTTATGCCAAAGATCAAAAAATAAGTAAAACACACACAGAGTTATAAAGACGAAAACATACCGGAAGAATGGGAGATTCAGCAGGATGGAAGTTGATTTTGTATTTTGGATCTTGCAGGCTGCTAGTAACATCTGCTGCCAAAAACCGAAGCAGCGCTATGATTAGAACCACAGATAGGAATGTTGAGGAATGAGTAACACACATCAAACCTTACATCATCCAGAAATCAAGAAAAACGAAATGAATCGAAACGATCTCAGTTCTTTCAAGCAAAAATAAATAAAATATAAAATAAGGTGCACCTTATCAGTTCTGACCCACAAAGCAACTCGAATTGTGATATCACGATGTTCGGTATGCTCACCCGATTGAGGAGAACGCATTCTGTCGGCGTGAACCGCCCAAATAGTCAAAATACAAAACGCAATCACCCCTAAAACCAGCTTCGCCATAGCTGCGAAATCCGCAAAGAAGAAGGACACGAGAACGATTCTTGGCAAAGTACGTGTGAGGGTAACGGAGATCACAGGAAGTCTCCAAGAGGTCAAAGTCTGAAGGGCTGCAAAACAGAGGTATGTATGTATTCTGTGGCTCAAAGAATATTATACTGTTCTTTGACACCCTTCAGTTTATTCAGAACAGAGAACCAAAGTCCACGAGAATTCAACTATTCTTCATTCGTGTTCCCATGCAGTCCGATGGGTCTCGTCGAGCCGCTCCTGCACACATGCCGGACTCCGAGGAGCAGAGCAATTCAGTCCTGGCTGTCGCTGTCTCACGCAGCGACCCAATTCCAATGCGGCAGCCATTGTTGTAATGTTCCTCGCATTTTTTCGCATTGGATGTACGCTTCCAATTAAGGCGTTGTATTCTTCACATGGGGTGGACTTAAGTGAATTAGGGGGTGAGGGGATGAGTGTGAGGGTTTCACGGCTTGATGTAGTAGTGTTAGGGGGTCACACTACACTTACTAGCTTGAGCCGCACAGGGTTTGGAAGCTGGGGTAGCGTCGAGAATGGTGCGCTTTGAGGATTTAGTAAAGCTTCGCCTACAGAAAGCGCTGCATGCAGCTGGTGGGGGGGGGGGGGATTTAGAGGAAGCAGAAGCCATGTTCCCCGAAATCATCGAAGAGGTTCTGAAGAGCACCACTGTATGATCTAATAGCGGCAGTGTGCGTAACTAATTGCTGAAGTATGAGCAGGTTGCAGATGGTTCCATTAAGGCTATTGCATCTGTCTTATTGCGCCTCTGCCATTCCTGAACCCTGCAATTTCACATGAGGTGAGAAAACACTGTCACGTGGGGACGCATTCAATGTGCTGTGAACAAATGAAAAAAAACAAAAGACCGAGAATACAGTTTTATGATTTCATGGGGTATCTATGATTGAACTGCACAACAGTATTGCAGATTGAAGTCGCACCGTTCAACATAACTAGGGTGAATGGTTGCTGTACTGGGAGCTAACTCAAGACTCCTTCATGGGGTGTGGACATCACCTTAAACCTTATCGTGCCGCGACACAATTCTAAGACTTTTGGCCAACGGTTTGCATTATTTTCAGAAAATCAATGTTACTGTTTAGTTGAGATTATAATAAATCACATGAAGAAAGTAATTCTACAAAATAGTGGTAAAATGTTTGCCATGAACTACATAGCCCGTGTGTTGTGCAATAAATTTAAGCGGGTACACATCTCTTGTCCACTGACTAAGCAAAATATTCTCTTAATACCAATAAGAATTGATTGATGAGTTTACTAATCCCTAATCATCAACAAAAATTAATCAATGCAGCTAAGTAATTCTAGGGAAGTCGATCAACATGAATTAAGCAGTGAGGCTAACTTCCAAGGGTAGAAATGTGAACTGATCAACATCTCATTCCATCATAGCTGCGCCCATGAACACAGTTTTCGAGTTTCCTTATAAGCACTCGGCCGTGAAGCACCGAAAAAGTTCGCAGAGCACATCGATGAGCTTAGCCCATTCGCGTGACGGAATAATATGTTCTTAAATGCCACGTCCATGAGTGCACCTTTGTACAAAACAATCAACTCTTTTGAGTTGGGGATGTCGTTGCTAGCGCAGCCGGCATAATCAGATTGACCACCACGCAATGAGGTAGGTTCTTACACCTTGGATGCCTTCACGAGACGCACTATCCAGTCAACCTGTCCATCCACGCCACCAAATAGTCAATCCTTCCGTCACAGAGTAACCACAACAAAAGCGACTTCTTATTACATATAAACTCGCAGAAGAGGACTAAGAGTAAAGGACAAAATCAATCAGATCTTCACTCAAGTTTTGTGGAGCGCGATATTTGCCAACTCTAAAAAGCTGTGTCACACAACCAAGGATTATTATGCTAACAGTGGTAAGTACACAAGGTCTCACCAAATTGTTTTCTGGGCTCCCCACGTACAGTCCCTGAAGAGCAGCTATAAAAACTCCTTCAGCTACTAAAACATATATAACCATTGCATGCTGGCCCAACCATTCTAGTAAAATTGTGGAAGATCTCCAGCCGTGGACATCCACCAGGAAATAATAGCCCGCAAAGACAAGTCCTGCAGCACCTCCTGTGAAAAGCATGTAGCTGACACTGTAGAGCGGCTTGTTCCACGGCATACCTATATTATACCACTAAATAAATTAGTGTATTTTCACTTAGATACTAAAAATATGTTAGCGAAGTATCCAGCTCTTTCAACTACTACATAGATCCTGCAACTGCGACTTGATTCTACAGCTATTCCCAGAAACCTTGCGACATTTTCAAATCATAGAAAAGTACGGATCCATTTGCAATCACATGATTTAGAATCGAAGATGAGGAACTACATGATTCATTAAAAAGCTTACCTAGTACGTGCAGAAGAGCACCAGTCACAAGCAAAGTCAAAGACATGAGAACCCAATCCTTTAATCTCGCATTGTGTTCCTTGTGATGGACGAGAACATGGCCGAAATGCAGCCCCAAGAAACAGCTGACGATTGCAGACATAGAGCTAAGAAGCCCTTCAGGATCGAAAGGTGCTTTGCACCAAACAGGAGCACCCGCCGGCAGAGGTCCATAATCTGGTGAGAGCACACTGCAAGCCTGGCAACAAACAAGTGTTTTGTTCCGATCAAAATCATGACCAATATTCAGAAAAACGAGAAAAGAACCTAAGCCTTGTCAAGCAGAGTAAGAATGATGAAATTGCAACAGTGTTTTGAAGTGTACCGGAGCGCGTCGATAGACAGCCTTTTGGTACAGGTGGGATAATCCCAGTAGGGTGCGGTCTAAGTAGCCAACGACATTACAGCTAGGCCCGACATCACCCCGCACTCCACATTTTACCTGAATCAGACAAGAGGAAATACAAATTAATTCATGATGTCAAATCCTTCATAATTCAAAACCTCAGAAGCACCAACATAGACCCCTTGCAGCCACTGAACCAGAACGTTATAATCAGTTAATGAATGGTGAACTATATAAATTTCTGATTCGAGCTTTGACAGGGTCGAGTTTGCAGATCAATCCAATCGAGACATACTGTTTTCTTGTGGTACTTACCTGAAAAACAGTAGAATCTGCAGCTGAAACGAACTCCCAATCTGGAACATACACTCCATACAGCAGTACCAAGTAGATCGCCACGATTGCTGCTGCTACAGCCCTAAAAGTCCCAAAACGGCGGGTGCTCTTTATATAAACGTTCATGGACTCTTCTTAACAAAACTTGGTAATAGATAAACCAAGATAATTTCTACATAGCTTAAGAATACATGCCGAGCTTGGTTTTATACAAATCCTCTATAACCCAGAATATATTGTGAGAAATTATACACTTAAATGCAGAATGTCGTCTCAACTGCTCAAAAACGACAGAAAAGTACTCACCAGTGAATGTAGTACGTTTTGAGGATTGCAAACTTATGACTTGCAACATCATAGTGTCCGCGGGGCGCCCAAATCTCACACAGGGCAACTACCATGTAGGCCAATGCTATTCTCTACAGACGAAAAAAGGGTACATACAGTCAGATAGAGCTTCAAATGACACACAGGTTATAGATTAGGGGGAACCGTTAATCCTAATCTATTTCCGATGATAACTTTAAAACTGTCAGGGAATTCTTTTGACTAAAGAATCCAAGAATTACCAAAAACTACACACTAATAGTAATACTGCTCTTCTATGCTAGCTTCAGAGTCCTCATTAGAACAAGTCCAGTCACGAATTATTCTATAAAATACGTCATAAATCTGGAAAGCAGGGCGGACCTGAAGAACACCACACCAGCGTATACTTTCCAGGTCTACTCCATACGAAGTATTATGGACACCATGAAAGTAGCCACCTGCAAGCACGACAACATCGATGTTAAACAAGAACTATTCACAATAATAGGCATCAGATAAAGGAAACTCTATACGTTAAGGGGTTTATAGCTATCAGAAAATTCATCAAAGTAGCGTGTTCTCTTGTTCATGACGTTCTTGAATAAACAAGCGTCAAAAACAGTCAAAAACAGCTATTCGAAAAAATCTCATGAGCTCATTATTGCTTCTGAAAATACCTTGAATAAAAAGACCCACTATTACAAGCTTGAGTGAGCGCCCTATTGCCTTCTGAGATGCCAGCTGTTTTTCATTAATAATTTTCTGCAACAAATACGTGAATTTCACCGTCAACGATCATGGATGATAACTGTGCACTGCTCTAACATTGACAGAGACGAGCATCTATCGAACCAACTGAGAAAAATACCAAAACAAACTTGGTTGCTTAATGCCGCAACTAACCTTGTAGGTGAGGGCAAGTGCAACCCCGACTATGAAGAGGAAGAAGGGCAACACAAAGTCGGCCAGAGTAACGCCGTCCCAAGGAGAATGATTGATGGCGGGCCAAATGCCACCGGCATAATCCACCAGAATCATTACCTGCATCAGAACACGCGCAATATAGTGCAAGTGTTAAAGGAACTGTGTGCATGTTTAAGAGGCACTCGGAAGAACACTTCTCAGCCACTCACATAACAGGTTCGTGTAATCCTAAGAGTACATTCTCACGGAGGCAATCTATTCTTCACCTAGAGGGCAATGGATGAGCCATAACCCTCTAAACATTCTCTCAAAATTCTGTAACTAAGGCGAGGGTGATGGATGATACCACCTTCGGATAGCAACACTTCGCCACAACAGGATCGATCCTAAGAATATTGATGCTGGGCTTGCGTAAAAAAGCTCTAGATTAGGACGAGATGTGTAAACTGCAGCCCCGCGATTCACACTAGAAGCGTATTGAAGGAGCATGCATTCGGTTAGAGATACCGTAAGAGACCACTAAGATAACACTAATATATCGCTGGGTTCTAATCCATTCAAACGATAAGACGGCAACACTTCAGCCCGCGCAAGAAAACGAGAAAGACAGCCCTATCCCTTACATGCATGAAATATCCCGCGGCCAAGGCCACCACACACATGAAGTGTTTCTTAGTGAGCGAAGCAGAAAGCAGACACGCTCAGAGCAACACAGATCTGGCCCAAGGAAGACAGCAGCATCATCCCTGAACAGAGCACATACCGCAATGGAAAGCCCTCGAAACACATCCAGCGACGCCAATCTCGGCTTCTGCACTGCTAGTGCAACTGGAGCCTCTCCATCAACCAATGGCTGCAATAGGACTAGATCCTCAGCCTCCTCACATCTCACTCCTCCCCGCTCCATCACCTCCACATCCTCGTTCGCCATAACCACAGCCACCATGGCGAACCACCGACTCTATAATACAACCCAATACCCCAAGATCTCCAAATGTGGGCTCTCTCTAAACCTCACACCAACTGAAGCCTCGGCTGATCTCTCTCTCTATTTCTCTGCCAAAACTCGGGGTATGACTCCAACAGCAAACTCAAATTTGGCCACTATCCAGTCCTGATCTAGCAGGACAAAACGAAGACCAGAATCCACACACAAGTGAATTTCAGCGGAGCACATGAAAGGAGACGACACAGTGCTGTTGCAGGCTTCCGATCATCAATCACCTGACACGGACAGCATATCTGGGCAGACGACAGAGAGATACTTAAGAGGAAGGCACTCCCATCGCCGCGCCGCTTCTTTCTACCGCAGCTTGCACCTTCGATGCAAGTGGTGAAGGAGAAGTTGAGACCCGCTATTATTGCCCCCGTCCAGTGGTCCGGTTCGTCTGTCCCTGACTTGTCGGCGGGATAGACAGGGTTGCGCAAATCCCACAGGAACCCAGTCTAGGACCCCCAGTTGCAGACAGTGCCGCGCTTGCCCCACCTCCCCCTCGCGACTTCTCCAGTTGTAATGAGCTGACTGTGGGTTGAGCCTCTACCTGGGGTCTTCACCGCTGGGCGAGAAACACACATTCTCGTGGAGACTTTCTTCCCTTTCATTCGGCGACCACTATAGCTATTCAACGCGTCAGAGGCGTCACTCCGTTTGAAATTCAGTTGCGTCTGGAGCCTCATATGTGACGTTAGTTTTTTCTGATGCTTTATCGTCATATGGGGAATATTCTTAGTTAAAATTTTCGCCGAATAGGGGAGAGCAGCACTGTAGCGCATCACGCAGCTCACGGACGAGAACGACAAAATGGGAGGCGAGATTGCGAAGACGTGGTGCGACATGCTGGTGGCCATGGAGAGACACTGTCACCCACTTCCAGTCACAAAATAGTGCGCCATGGGATGATGCGGTTCCACCCACACAGACAAACAACACAACCTTCGTGATAACAACAAAAGGATTCGTCACACACATTCTCTTTGTGGGTCTGTATCAAACTATATATATATATATACACACATATACTTTTTGCTTCATTTATTAACTGGATTTTGCAGTGGGCCCTATCAAAATTGGAGAGTAACAGCTGAAATTCTTCTCATCGTTTTCTTGTTTTCTTATTCTTTTTCCAGAAAACTGGGTTTCCCCAATATTTCGATTAAGCTTGATAAGGTAACAGAGTAAAACAACTTTTACTCTAACACCTCTTAAGAAGACAGGTGTAAGAGCTAGAAACTATGTGAGAATTTTTTAAACTATAATATTCATTTGGGTTATCATGGATTATTGGGCCTTATTGAGACACTCTTAGATCCCATCAAATTCTTAGATTGAATCTATCTCCAATCATGCTTTTTTGTCCCACTTCTTGAAAAAGACTGTCTTGTTACAAGTGGTTTTTGCCATATTCTTTCATGTTTTGTTTTTTATAAGATTTTTTTATATATATTTAATTAATCCTCCCTCATACAATTATCATAGTATGGGATTCTTGTGTTTGATGTGGATAACAAATTTGAAGGGTTCATTTTCGTGACTTAGTGCAATTGAAACATGTTAGAGGTTTTTCTTTTAAGCTTTTATCTTCTTGTGAATCCATCTGAAAACAAACGGTGGGTGAGAATATTAATTTAAAGCATCTATGCAGACATGATACATTGCCTATTGAAACTGGTTAAATTTTCACTACCACCGTTTGTTTTGTTTCATATCGATGTTGATATTATATTTTTGGTAATAAGAGCTCCTTTAATGACAAAACAAAGTTGTGTCAAAACACAATCTTCAACCACGAGTGAATTAAAACACTTGGTTGTGGACAATCTTCCCACACAGAAAAAAAGAAAAGAAAAAAAGGTCCTATGTTTTAATGACTGTCTCATCTTTGATTTTGTGATGCACAAGGGAGTTCCCATAATATGATGAGATAGAATTTTTTTCTGCATGTGCCTGACATTGGCTTTGCTTTAACAAGCGTCAAGCGCATTGGGTCGGTTTCAAAAAAGTGCAAACAAAGTTTCCTCAAAGGTGTGGAGGACCCCATGTGGACTCGGTCCTTTTACAACCCAATCCACTGAACAAATGGTTCAAAAATTTTCAACACAAATATTATTTGTCAATATTTGACTGCAGAGATGTAGAATAATGGTTACCACGTTTTTGTTACAAGGCTCCACCACCTCTCTTCGTCAAGGCCAACTGTGGGAAGAAGAAAACAGCCGTGAGAATTCTTGCATATAGAGGCTAATCTGGGCATTTACACCCCGAGTAGTTGATTTTAGGTGTATGGCAAACTAATCAAACAACACAGAATACTGTTGCAGATAATTCCGGCAATATTGTCACTTGAATCAGAGAATTTCTCCATGGCTGTCGAATTTCTCCATGTCTCTAATTTTGGGGTTTTTCGCCTCTAGCTTAAATCCAAAACTTCCAAAAACAAAACTTCAGGAATCGACAAGTCTCCCACGTCAGACCTATCAAGATCCCACCCAATGTGGCCCTTAGTGTGAGGATCTGGAGGGCCACAGTCCCTCCGTCTTAAGGGTGTTCTTTCCCAGAAATAACGCACAATTGTACTATAGCTGTACTCGGTCTTGCACATTACTCCCTAAATTTACAAAGACAAATGCATTATAAAAAGGTTGCAGGTACGACACGCACTGTTCCTCCAAAACCTCGCGGGGATATCAAGTGGTGTCTACCGCATTACTTTACTAATTTTCAGGATCTTTTCAGATTCAGAAGGAAATGATTGATACACGCTGCTGAAAACTTTTGCAGAAATTGCCTTTCAGAAGTTGATAAGATTTCATCGCAAAAAACAGTCCTTAATCTGGTAAAAAACGTATTCTCTTCCGATACAAAGTTATCTGAAACAGGCAGGTACAACTCAAATGACCCAGACTACCAGTGAGCGATTGGCAGAATGGCATCATGGTCTCAGATCTATTGAAATAGTGTTACAATAAGCAGTTGTGTTCTTGTCTACTCAGGTTGCAAGCACTTCTGCAACAAACTTGGTCCATCTATGCCGATTACAATTTAATAATTGATCGTGCCAGGATAACTACGATGCTAATTCTACTAAAAGCGTAATTTGTAGTAGGGCTTTACAAATGGCATAAATACAAGGTCATTGGCCCTCAAATAGGCTCAAAAACCCTCGGTTAGCATTCGGCAGTTCTCATCAGAACCCACACCTAAAATTGGGAGTTTTTCCAATACTCATTCACAAGTTTCGCAAACAAGGAATTGGAGTTATTGAGAAGCCGAAGTGGGGTATCGTACTCCACCAACGCCCCTACAAGCAAAAAGTACAAACATTGCTTTGAGTTGGTCATTTGCTTCGTCTGGAGAAATTGATAAAACGACTCTCAAAAGACGACATTATGTTTGAGAACCTTGAATAATCTACTAGAAAATTAGAGAAATACACACAAAATGCTAAACAATGATCCACGACAAGTAGGGTAGAGTCAAGTCTGATCTAACATGAGCATCTATAAGCTCCTGGAGGGAGTATTATTACGAGAAAGAAAAAGAAAAAAAAGTGTGCAGGAGTTTCTTGGAGAAACAGAACGTACCATCAGCAAGAACCAACACCATATCACTGTCAACGACAGTTGGAATCCGGTGGGCCACAGTGACCACCGTGCAATCCTTGAAGTCATATTGGATCAACTTCTGAATGACTCCGTCAGCGTTGGAATCAATAGATGCTGTGGCTTCATGAACGATAAGGATGCGGCTATGCTTTAACAGTGCCCGCCCGAGACAGAAGAGTTGCCTTTGACCAACACTCCAGTCATCAGTTACTGCAGTTTGGATTAGCACAGCATATACATGAATTAGAATGTGCAGCTTTTACATACAAGGGCTTCCCAATTCAGCACAGGAAATGCAGAGACAGAATTTTAGTTTTTCAAATGCACTAAATAGAATATACTTTAATTTTTAAAAGTTTCAGTACGAGACTGTGTAAAAAATTGATAAAAATTACCTCGCAGGTCGAGCTTCTCAGGCATGAACCGGATAACATCTGCTAGTTGACACTTTTCCAATACCTGTGACAGGAATTATGTAATGTTTAGGGTTTGGGGATCAGATCGTATTTCACAGTCCACATGCGGTAAACTTTATATTCTAAGCAGATGTTCAATCTTCTTTGGAAAGTGGTCATTGCCAGCAACTCGTTCACTTGGATTACGATCATTAAGTAAACCTGATTGTAAATGAGAGCACGCACTAACTGAAGAATTTCCTATTTAAAAAGCGATGCGTTCAGCTGTACGAGAGAAATCTTACATTCCAAATATCCCTGTCTTCATGTTCGCCGAGAGGATCCAAATTTGACCGCACAGTTCCATGGAAGAGAATAGGCTCTTGAGGAATGATACCCAAACGAGATCGCAAGTCACGGAGACCAATGCTCGTGATGTCAAGCCCGTCGATAAGAATGCGCCCTCCAGCGGGTTCCACCAGGCGGAACAAAGCGCTAATAAGTGTGGTCTGCAATTTCACGATTCAGAATATTCATATGCCTTTCATTCCGTTGTTTAAGCTGCAGGGAACCAATTGGTAAAAACCAAAATACTCACCACTGTGGGGTTATATAGATCAAAGAGTAACGACGCTCAGTTGCATCATCCATCTTAACCAGTACTTTGGTTGATTAGTTCTGTAACACATTAAAGATATGCTTGGGTCTAAAAGGGTGTAAAAGAGCTTCCACATAAATTATCCTACACGTACGATTTTCTATACTCTTCACTCGCTCTAAAATAAATACTTACCTTTCCGGAACCGACCCGACCAACAATACCCACTTGCTGTCCTCCCTGAAAAGTACATGTAATACCCTTCAAAACAAGAGGAGCTCCAGGACTATGTCGAATCTGCATAAATTCCATTCATTTTTTTAAAAATACAAATCAAAAGTCCCATGCCTTGCTAGATCCAAGACTTCTGAGAGTCGACCAGAAATACACTATGCAAAGGAACACATTCCCACCTGCAAGTTCTCCAGCTCCACTTTGCCTTCATTTGGCCAACTAGGAGCAGGACGACATTCTTCAATTATGGCAGGAGCCTCGTTCTCAATTTTCATGTATTGCCGGATACGCTCAACAGAAGTGATATTGTTTGCCAGCTGGCAAACACACTGAATGAAGAACACTAAAACAGAATTCAATGTCAAACCGTGTATGAGTGCTAGTCCCCCAAATCCTGCACAAAAATCCCAGTTTAGGGTTAAGAACATCTCAAATTAATTAAATCTCCGATGGCTATAACTCCCTTACTTGAAGGCAAGAAATGAGAACAAAACATGTGAGTCTCATAAAGGCAAGAATAGTTACCACCACCACCAGCATCCGAGGGCAGGGCAACCATAAGTAAGGCAGATGATGCCAAAATCACTGCACATAATGTTTCCAATCGCAGGACAAGCCATTCGTGCGCAATGAAAGTATGGAAAAAAATACTGGCATCAACATTAACCAGCTCCAAATTTTTCTTCTTAAATTGAGCAACTTTCTCAAAAGCACGAATTATCACTGCACTGCTAATTGTCTCGCTAAAATGATTTACAATTGCTGCCTTTGTGGTGCCGTTCATTCGCATCAGCTCACGTGCAGAAGTCAAATAATATCTCTGCAAAAAAAAAAAAAAAAAAAAAAAAAAAATCATCTTTACAAGCCAACATGATCAAGCAGATCTGAAAAATATTAACTACAATACTGATTGTTGATGTTTATTCAGTTCCTAGTTACAAATTCAAGCATGTCAAGTGAAAGATCAATCCAAGAAATTACCTGTAACCATCTAACCACAAGGAGTAGGGGAAGAGCGACGATAAGAAATTGGTATGTGACGATGGCGATTATTGTAATTACACCTGTAATTTCGATGCCGGTTTGAGAGACGAACTCAAAAGCAATGGGGATGTCAATATCCACCATTCTCATGTCAGATGACATCTGCAGAATGCCGTAACCACATCATCGATTAATACAATAATCCTCATTTTAAGGAGATATAGCGTAAAATGATTAGTTTCAACTCAGAATGATCAGAAACGTCAAGTTAGAACAATCGAAACCGGTAGCAACAGAAAACGCAGTCTTACCCTAGCAAGAATTCTTCCCATGGGAGTTGAGTCAAAAAACAGCATGGGAGCTCGGAACAAGCACTCAATCAACGATCGAAAGAAGTTGGTTGATGCACATAAACCCAGATAAACAGTAATCCGCGACCTCAAGAACACGAAAATTCCATTGACGATGGATATAGATGAGTACACGCCAATAATCTTGGCATCACTTGTGTTAGGGTCAGTCACTCTGGTTGCCAACCAGTAGTTTGCTCCAACTTGGCTCAAAACGAAGACTCCTTGGGAGATAATTCCCAGCCAGAACAACAACCAAGCCTTGGCTACGCGGATGTACTCAAGGTAGATGAACCACCCTTGGTCACCAATTTCACGCTCTTCTTGCTGCGTCAATTGTGATGCAGCGACTTCGACTGGGGGCTCTCTTCCCCTTTGAGAGCCCATCCTTGACCTTGCTCGGCTTAACTCTCTCAAAATCACCTCACCTTTAGATTCGGATCCGTTCAGCTTCGACTCGTCTATCCCAAGTTCTTCCTTCACATTATCGTCGATATCGCGGTAGACAGTGCCCATGGCATCTTCATATGCGTTCACGAGTTGCTTGAAACCACGGCCCTCTTCAAGAAGAGCGTCAAACTTTCCCGATTCTGTTATCTCACCTCCTTCCATAACCTACAAGCGAGAATTGTAGAGAAATCGGTCATTTCCTATTCAAACGATTTGAGGACAATCATAATATCGACAAAATTTTAGTTAAAAAAAAAAATAGCCCTAGCGTACCAGAATGAGATCGACAGCATGAAGAAATTCGACTTGATGTGTGATAAGGATGACGGTCTTCTTCCGCAGCGCACCCATCAAACAATCCTACACAATTTACAAACATATTTCAGTCAGACGATTCATCTCATAGTTTTCCAAGAGTGAGAAAATAGAGCAACGAGAGAAAATAGGTAGAAAAAGGGAACAAAACAATGTAGACAAGATTCATTTACCTTAAAGAGCATGGCAGCAGTACGTGCATCAAGTGCACTAAATGGATCGTCCAGTAAGTAAATATCAGCATCGGCGTACACAGCCCTTGCCAACTGAATTCGTTGCTTCTGGCCTCCACTCAGGTTGATACCCTTTTCTCCGATTTCCGTTTGATCCCCTAAAGAAAATTGAGCTATGTCTTGGACTAACGCACACGCAGTCAGTGATGAACGATAGCGCATGGAATCCATTGGGAGTCCAAAGAGGACATTCTCCTGTATAGTGCCGCCATGGATCCATGCTGATTGGGAAACGTATGCAATCTTCCCTGATACCATTATCTGAATAAGGAAACAACGATTCAAATGTTTAATGGCCCATTCATGCTCAAAAGGCTTTACACGTCGAGGCAAACCTCCCAGTTATGATCTCAAGCTGAATATGGTACTCACCCTTCCAGAAACTTTTGGAATTTCTCCCATGATAGAATACAACAGCGTCGACTTCCCTGACCCGACCGTCCCACAGACAGCCACGTGGTCTCCTGGCTTAACAGTGAAGTTAATATGACGCAGAGTTGGCTTAACCTTCGCCCCAGGTTGCCAGCTGAGAGTTACATCATGCATCTCAACTGCATATGAAGCGTTTTCTGTTTTCTCCACGTAGTTGTCCAGCTCATCGGCGCTCAAGAAGCTTCCAATCCGACCGAGGGAGACTTGAGCCTGCACAACCAATAAACTCATTCAGCACAAGGTTGTACAAGCAGAGTCTCCAGAGGATGTGACAGATTCATGTTATTGAGCTCAAAGACATGATTTGGAAGGTCGAGGTATATGAGGCAATTAAACCCAAGTGTGGTGAGCAGACCTGGATGATGATCGCAAGAAGATCAGGAACCAAACGGATGTAATCCTGGATGATGCGGAAAACAGAGAGGGAGGTGAAGACTACAGCAGGAGAAAGGTTGTGGCCGAGAAAAACGTAAGCCCCAAAGCTGAGAGAAGAAACAAGGACGGGTGCCATCCAGGACAAGATTGTACCCAGCGACCGTGCTTTGTTTGAGATTGATATCCATTGAAACTCATTTTCACGCAGCTTCATCATCTTCATTTTGAAATAATCCTCCCATGCCTGCAAAAACCCAAAAAAGCAAGCCATAAACTTCTTAACTGAAACCTCAACAGAAGTAAATATTAGTGACACAAAAGTTGTTTGAAACTGAACAGAAACAGTGCTTTGCATTGTGATCCGGGTATTTCGCAGGCTCTCATAAGATGTGCAAGTAATACATACATATAGGGTTTCTGAAAGATTTTAACCTGTTATAAATGATGTAGAGAGCAGCAGTGTAAAACATAATCAGAAAAAAAAAAAAAAAAAAAAAAAAAAAAAAAAAATCACAAACCTGGAGCTTTATAACCTTGATACCATTCAGTATTTCAGTCGAAGCTCTGACCCGCTCATCTTGAGATCCCATTAGTTTGACTTCGTACCTCTGGAGAACTCGTGCCAATGGAATGTTTAGCACCATTGTGATGCCAATCACTGCCAATCCAGCGAATGCGGCTAACCCAAGAGAATAGAACAATATAACAGATGCAAGCATAAGTTGGAGTGGGGTGGTCCAAATTTGGTGAAAGTACCAAGGGAATTCACCCAGCCTGTAGCAATCCACTGACACATAGTTCACAACCTCACCAGCCGCATAGCTTGCCCGACTCGTGTTGGATAACCTGAATAATCAGCACTAAATATCAGATTACAAATTGCAAAAACTTTCACTTCGATGGCAATTAAACTCGAGATAAATTCCGGTGACGACTTGTTCAGCAAAAGCCAATAAACTTAAACTAAGACGATGTTTGGAAACCAAATCCTTACCTGAGCTGCTTTTCATAAATGAGAGCAATAAGACCAGACCTCAGCTCCATTCCCACCATCCTAGCTCCGGCATACCAGTGTCGTTGAAAAATAGACTCCAAAACCTTGCTGAAAAAGAGAGCTGCTACAAGAGCATACCCCTCATACTTAAACAACCTCTCACCACCTTCAAATTTGATAAAAAAATGGAGAAAAATGGGTCCCGAAGCAAGGGTTAATGTCTTCCCCAGAGCACAGAAACCATTAAATGCCATCGTCTTCCAATACACAGTAGCAAGCGCCCAAAACACAGACTGCTCCTCCTGTGGGTGACGTTCTTTTTGCGAGTTCCACGCCGCGAGAAACTTCTGCACAGCACTCTGTGCTTGAAGGTCTTTGTTCAAGTAGGGAACATCTTTGAGCCCCAAAGGGCGTTTGTATCCAAGAGCAAGGAAAGGATCCAACCACTTGAATATCAAAGCACTAAATGGGCTTGCAGTTGCATAGAATGATTCCTCAGTGTTCTTCACCTCTCTAGGTCGGTTTGCTGCAACACCGATGAGGAGAGGCTCAGTGAGACCATCTTGTTGCTGTACCTCCGGCTCAAGAGCTATCCATCTCTCGCCCCGAATAGAGCATGCTAAGAGGAGACAAGCCACAGGCCACGACGCCACTACTAGGAAAAGCTCGAGCAAAGGAATGGTGACGCGACTATTAAGGTTGATAAGAATGAGAACTCCGGTTAGGCTTGTGAGCAGGAATGTGAGTATCCACCACACGTACGCGACTTGCTTGGTTGGATTCCGTAGCCTGTAGGCATGATTGAGATTGTTTAAATTCCGTGCTATAATTTGCATTCATTTGAACAAAGATAGGATCACTGGGTTTGACCAATATTAGGGTGTAACATACCTGATTCGCAAGGAAATGGCGATGGTGAACCAGGCTAGCCCTTGCACCAACAAGTACAGCTCCTCATGTGTAGCGAGGAAATCTACTCTAGAGTAGAGGTACATTCCAACCACAACGTGTGCTACTCCAACGAGCCCAGAGAGGACGGAAGTGACATTGTACAAAATGGAGCCTACTTCGAAAGTCGAGATGAAGTCGGCGCCAGTCAAGGCACCTGGGGGAATGCTGTTTGAGGTGGCGAGAAGGATGAAGAAGACGAAAAGCAGGAGAATCTGGCCAAAGCACACAATGCCATGCTGAATACATGTGGAAGATACTGATTCTGGAGCCCTAGAATATACATTCATTAATCCAACGAGGTGAATGCTCTTCGAGCAAGACGGAGCTTCATCGGACGGTGATTTGCTGGCACCACAAAACCATCTCCAAGGATCTGCGTTGGCCACAGAATGAATGCTGTGAGTCTTTTGTATTGAAGTGAAGTGCATAAATTTTCTTTTAAGGTACTGAGCACAATAACCAGATGTTGAAACGTGGCAATTCAGTTGGTTATGTACCTGCAGGTGAACGAAAATTTAAGCGGAATTCAACGGATAAACATCAGAATTCCTATCTTGCTCCACAATTCAGAAAGACAACGAACGTTTTCTTACCTTCAATTTGAAAAGCTGCCATTGACGATAGCTTAGATACACTTCCCATTGAGATTTCTTCACCGATATGAAGAATTTGTCAAATGCAACCATTCCGATTTCCGTTGAAACATGATAGCAGGACGTCACGCACCCCAGCGTAAGCGCTTCACGGACACCTCGCCATTATGAAGAAATCCTTTCCAATTCGTGAAAAGTTGATTCTGCAACCATTGCTCACGCTGCATCATCACATGATGCATTAAACGATTAGCGCACAATGTGGATACTCTCACGAGCAATTAAGGTACTACTTCTAGGAGCACAAGAGCATCGATAAATATTATACAAGCGAAAACACTTGCTTTCAGCATATTTATTTCCAATAATTTAATACGAGTAAAATACACAATATGCATTCTACAAGCACCGAAGAGCAAAGTGAAAATACTCCTACTCAATCGCTGCTTGCCACAACAACTGAAACAGACGACCAATTCGACCAACAAAGAAGCGCGGTAGGTGCTTGAAGGCAAAAATAAACAAATAAATAAATAAATAAAACACGGAAGCACATATCACTAAGCAGCGAATATTTTTTTAGCCTTCGTTCAATGAACTGAAACTCTAAAGAAAGTCTCGTAACTCAACTACCGGACAGAAGAAATTCGAAATGCCAAAAGTGTTCGCAGCCTTTGATAATTGATTGCAACCATGAACATTGTACAAAAAAAAAACTATACAAAAAAAACAGGAAAGTTAAATAAATCAAAACGTATATAGTTTTTATTTTTATTTTTTTCAATTTAAAAATATTTACTTACAAGAGCACCAATGTTGGAGAAGTCAGTTCGCATAGAATTTGAGATATAGACAGTAGGATCCATCAAAGGAAAAAAGTATTCAAATTCACAAAAGGAGGCTCCACAAAAGCACGAACGCCTTGTAGTTGAGGGCGCTGGAAGATCGGGCCATACAGAACTATCCACAAGCAATGCAAGAAAGGGTATGTGTAGCAAGTGCCGAACGCAGCTGCTCTGGAGTACCTGCCTGCCTCCATTGCCGAATTCGTGTACACCTCTGGAATGACAAGCCACATCACTCACCGTCTCTCACGTCCAACAAACTGTCTCCAAGAGCAGCAAGCCAACCAACCATAATGTGAACCTCTCTCGTTAGAAGTACCACGCTACGGCCCCCGCCCTTAACACAAGACAACTCAGGCCAAAAGCAAAAAACAAAACGGCTTCGTTCACACTAGACCATTGCTATCTCCGTCGTCACGGCCCTCACGCCTCCCACAGCACTCCAACACTCTCCTTCCGTATTCTCAGTGTTGCCTGGCAGCAGAAGCAGCTTCGGCTAGTCGTAGGGGCGGGGGATACAGGTCGCGCAGTGAGCGAGTGAGTGAGTGAATGAGGAGGAATTTAAGGTGGGATAGTAACCCCCACCCGCCGTCCTGCAGATGCGTCCCCGAAACATCCAAAAACTGCGATTCTCTCGCGGCACTCACTCACTCTCCGCCTGACCTGGTGTGTGTGTGCGTGTGTGGCGTCTGAGGCACGTGAATGTGGAACTATGCTCTGATCAAAAAATCGCGCGGTCAAATCCTCCTCACGGAACTAACTAACTTCTAGCTCGGTCCCCGAATTTCCGATTCCTGCCGTTCCGTTCGGGAGGGAAGGATGTTGTAGAATGTCGCCAATTCAACAATGATACAGTTGTTTGATATTGACTTTGACCTTTTTCTTTTGTTTATTTTTATTTTTATTTTTTTGTGGGATTCAGAGTGTTTAGGATTTGACATATAACAACAAAAAGAAATAAGCAAACATAACAAACTTATGAATGATTCATGTTGCGATCTTAATGATTAAATTTAATGTGTTGATGATGTATTCCATTTTTAAGTAGTGCAGTTTAAAAAAGACTTTTAGGACTTAACAAGAAATAGTGGTAATAATAATAACAATATCAACAACAATATGTACATGTATCCTGGTTATTTGATATCACTTAACTAATATTTCTTACTTGATACAATAAAGGTCATGACTATGTCATAAATTTGTATCATTTAAATGATATTTCTCACATAGTTTATAAAAGTTTTCATCCACCAAAGTTATAAATTAATTGGGGTACATATGTATATGTATACACAATAAGATATTCTCTCCTAGGTCTCTAACAAATATTTTTACACCACCTTGTGTGATCCAAATCCATCTCAGTGACTGTGATGTTTAGAAGTTATTACAGATTTGCAACAACCATTATCTTTTTATGCCCAAACTCATATTTTTTCGAAAACAAAACACTCATAAAATTATAAACAAACAAAATTTGAAATCAAAAGAATTTGCTTTGACATGAGTATAATATTTGAGACTTTTTTTCTTATGTATTCAAACGAATTGACCCAACCAATTGTGGGCTTAAGACATTTACAAATATTTTCATAAAATAACAAAAATAATAGAATAAAAGATGAGTCAGTGCACAGTAGAATGTTAACAAGACAATTTACAAATGGAAAAAATAAAATAAAAATCATTGTTTAAGTAAGCATTCTCAAAGGTGTGGTAAAATTAAATTTATGGTAGCTTTTTAAGTTCTGTAATAATATTTCACTTATTGTGTAAAGAAGTATACTAAAATATATTATCTTTTGTTAATATTCAAAACCAATAGTTACATTCAAATCAACATTCACAAATGGCAAGATAAATCATCCTTGATTTATTTTTATCCTCTTGTGATTGCTACTCACTTGTTCGTTTTTGTTTGTCTTGCTTGGCTAAGCCTATAATTAAGACAGATTTTACCAATTACATAGATTGAATGAGATTCATTTGTAGCAACTTTTACAAATTTGCCCAAACACTTAATTATAGTTGTAGATTTACATAGAGTTTTTTGTTTTTTGATAGGCATGCAAATACATACTAAATATAAATGTACTGTAATTATAAATTCATATGTAAAATCTATGTTATAAAACTAGACATTTAAAAATAATAATTGTAATATGACTATACAAAATTCATTTCGAATAGGTATTTTGAATTTTACATCTTCTGTTTTAACTTTTATTTATTGATTGATTAGTCACTTATTTTTATAAGTATTGGATAGAAGTATTTGTTACACACACTATCCTTTAATTAAAGTACAACATGTGTGTTTCTTTTATTGATTTTTAAAATTAATTACTGTAAATAGTTACATATACAACAACTTTGGTAGATTTTTTTTTTAACATTTATTTTATTTTTCATTATGTCTATTGTTTCCATCTTTAATACTAATTAAATTTTAAGAATACAAGATTATCATGGAAAAAAACCATCTATTATTTTTTAAATGGTATTTAAGACTTTTGAATAACATTTTTTCTCAGATATGAATTTAAATCAAATATTTAATGTTTATGAACAAAAATACATGTATATATATATATATATATATATATATATATCTATATATGTACATGGAGAAGTGCAATTAATTATGCAATAATTTCACTACAACAGAAAAAAAAAAAAAAAAAAAAAAAAAAACTTTTTCATTAGAGTTACCATGAAGTGTTATTCAATATCAGTATTTGCTTCAAGAAATCCAACTCCAACAACACCTCAAAACTGTGACAAAGCATCAAGTTAAGAAGCGAAATTTAAAAAATTATATATATATATATATATATATATATATATACATACAACAACCACGGAGGTTGGCAATGTATATTCGTACCCATTAACATAAAAATCTTCACCACCTTTAACGATTGATTGAAAAAGCTAAGAATTCTCATTCACAAGTGCACACCCATGTGTCAAATTTCCACAACAGGCGCTCTTTTGTTTTTAGGGTTTGGGGAACAGGGGCTGGGCTGCTCATCCAGCCCCGTTAGTTGCGATCACGGTGACGATAGATTCTCCATCTCTTAAGATGCTGCGGTGATTTGTCTCATCCGTCCACGCCAAGTGTGGCACACTCGCTTCGGGGTAGAAAGCTTTCTTCTGCTCTGTTGTCTCTTGTGCCTGCTCTCATTTTGCCTTCGATCTCAGGTACGCGTCATGATCCATTCAATGTGCTTGTACCAAGGTTTTCCATCTTGCTCTCATTCTCTGCGTGTCCCGGATCCGCACCCTCAAGTTTCTCTGTTGTTGTTTTCTGTCATTAGAAGTGGTTTGTTGCTTTTTTCTTTTTTCTTTTTCTGAAGTGTGTGTTTGTTCTTGCGGGGGTCCTTCTACAGTTAGCTTTTTTCGCAATGGGGTACGAGAAAGAAATCATCCGGCCCGGGAACGGCGTGAAACCTAACCGCGGCCAAACCGTCACTGTCCACTGCACCGGCTATGGTTCGTGGTCTTCTCCAAGCATGGATTTGGTTACTTGTTCCTAAATTGATTAGGATGTTGGGAGGTTTTTGTGACGAGTTCTTTATACATGTGCGTCTTACCAAATTCTATGTCGGATGTTTTTTTTATTTTTTATTTTTTATTTTTTTCTAACTCTCAACCAGGCATTCGATGGTATTGGAGTTGGTGATATAGTAGGAGGAGGGTGTGGAGAGATCGAGATCGGGGTTGCTCTGAATTCGTTGCTCTAACTTCGGATTTGGTCCTGCAGGCAAGAATAGGGACCTGAATGAGAAGTTCTGGAGGTAAGGACTGATCTATTCCCTTGCACCCTTGCTATTATTGTTGACGCAGTGGTGTCCCGAATGCGTCTGCAGTTAATCTCGCTTGACAATGAGAAATTGCTGTGAGGAGTGTTTTTAAAAGTAGGTTGAGGTGTCGTCTGTATTTTTCAGAGTTGAAGTTCGTTCGCCATTATTTCTGAAATCATTCCTGTGTTTTTCTTTGTACCGATCGACAATGAAGGTCCAAATTGTAATTCTGCGTCCTTTTATTTTTATTGTATTACAGTAAATTTAATTTTGATTATCGTTCATTGTTTGTTGATTGCAGTACAAAGGACCCTGGCCAGAAGCCCTTCCAGTTTGAGTTAGGGATGGGTCGAGTGATCAAAGGTACCTTGCTCTTATTTTCGGATCAGTCTTAGAATATTATCTAGGTTACAGGAGCTAGCCTTAATTTTGGCTGATCGTGATTGAGTGAATTTTAACTCATTCTTGATAAAAATGGCTTTACGTTCCAGGTTGGGATGAAGGTGTGATGAGCATGAGCATTGGCGAAATTGCTCGTCTCAAGGTATGCTCTCGTATCCTGATTTTGATGATTCCCTTGCTGCACAGCTCTTCGCAACCATCGCCCACTCTAAGCGCCTGCTTGTGTCTCAATGCAGTGCTCACCTGACTATGCTTACGGATCAGGGGGTTTTCCGGCATGGGGAATCATGCCAAACTCGGTGCTCGTTTTTGAAATCGAGGTGCTCAGCGCCCAGTGAATTGAATCGCAGAGTTAGTTACAAGCTATGTTTAAGGTGTTCTGTAGTGTAAGTAGGAATGCCAGCGATGCTTCAAGTTGAGAATTGTTCTGGAACGATGGGGCTCATGGCTTGGAACTACTCATCAAATGTGAGTGGCTTGCATTACTTTCTCTTTTGCACTGCTCAAGGACGAAGAGATGGTTGTATTCCTGTGCTTTGTAAGTGCAAGCTCTTTTGATGGAATGGATTGAGTGTGTACAGAAAAAAAGCAAGATTGTGAAGCTCTCTGGTACTTCCAACCTATGATCCATGGATATTCCTATATAATGTATTTTTTCAATAAATCTAGAATCCAACTCCAATAGCTAAAGCTGCGGGATATAGACGGAGGTTTTGAGAAGAATTAATGAAGATCTAATAGAAATAATACTCCAATTCTAGATTTTGTACCAGAAGTGCGGATGCTACGATGATCAGGAGTGTGAATAGTAGCGGCATTACGATGCGGTCTATGAATGTTGTTTTAAAAAGATGTAACGGAATTAGAAAGTACCCTTCCCCTGGTTTATCGATGGGAAGGTTCACCCAGACTGTTCGAGACGTGGATGTACTTCCTGCGTCGATGAGGCACACGCTGGACTCAAACGCCATTTGCAGAAGCAAAGCTAGTGTAATCATAATGACTAAGGAAACCAACGCTGCTACAGAGGCGGCTCTAATTACTGCGAAAGAGAGAGGATATGAATCCACTGTCGACGTTGACGGAATCCTCTGGTCCATAATTGTAGACACTGATTGCACGTTTGGTACCTTATCAGATGCATTTGGCGTGAACTCTGCACCATAAACCAACTTTGGCCTGCTTGTGGTTAGCTCCCCCTTCAAAGGGAGAGCATCTGGCACGATTTGGTGAAATCACAAGTTTCTCACGCATCGAAAACGTTCGAATTCCTTTGAGCATCTCGATGGATTCCCACAGCCTGCTATAAGACAACAGCCCCTACTGCTAGTGTTACCTCTGCAATTCAAATTTCAGGACATGGAACAAAATTTGCAACCAAACTCCGACACAAATCAAAGAGACACACACAGGCTGTCCCAATAAGATCAAAGTGCACACTTCAATGACAAATAAAACTGTAGGTAGCGCTGAACCAGATATCAAGCTCCTGAAACTTATGATTGCAACGTAAGCATAGTTTTCTTTACCGCTGCACTGCTTGTTTCCAAAGGTGGACAAAATACTGCTCCCTACATCTCCTCTCATCAAGTCAATGTAAATCCTACAAGACACGGTACTCCGTTATCCGAACTACCACACCAGAGAGGAGTAATCTGCAACGCCGTTGAAAAATGCTTTTCTATTACTAAAAAATGAACGACTAACAATCCTTGAGGTTCTAACTACAAATTGCTGCAAGAGCTGCGTGGAGCATCGTTTTAAGGACAATGCAAGCTTGGTGCTGCTGCTCGAAGAAGAAGCTCCCCTGCCTTGATGAATGACGTCATTGGTGGAGAGGACGACAGATTCATTCATCTATTTCTGAGAACGGAGTGTGGGAACCGGATGAGAAGTTCTCATGCCCATGGCGTGATCTTTTTTCCTCTGGGGACATTAATTCATTTCTCGACTACCTTTCATTCATCTCACTTGGACAACCGCCTTGTTTTGATTTCAATCATTTTGACTTTTGCTTTTTTATAATTTGGAACTATATATACATAAATATGAATATGTTAAAATGATTCACCCATTTACTAAATTTACCCACTGTAGTCATAACCATCATTAGAAAAATGGATCAACTCTAGAAACCATCATAACAATCATGGCTCTCATCCCAATCCCCCTTGTTCTCAACCGGTGCTCCTACTTCCCAACCTTCTTCATCCCAACCTCCCCCCCATTCTCAGCTCTGATCCTGATCCCCCTTATTTCTCACAATAGGGTAGGTTGATTTAGTAAATGGGTGGATCATTTTAACATTTTCCATATATATATATATATATATATATATATTTATATTTTGCTTAGGCCAAAATAAAACCTGCATGTTCAAGAATAAAAAAGATCTAAATGGTGAGTAATAAAGGATGGTTTTTTAGTCCAGCTCATTAAATTGGATTTTTAACTTGATAAGATAATTAATAGAAATTTTAGATGAATATTAACAATAGAAAAATATTTTGAAATAAAAGTGTGTGTATATAGTAAGTTGGTTTTTATATTTTCTTCACGTAATCATCTTTTAATATAAATATGTATGTAAAAATCACAGTTTTAATTTATCAACATTAATGGCTAAATGAACAATAATATACATGTATATATCAAAAAATATTTCGATAAATGCATGAGATCCATGTCCATAATTACTTAGAAATTTTAAGTATGCTATACAATTTTTGTATTGTAATTTTTTTAAAATTAAAATAAAATAGAATAGTTTTTTGAATTAAGACTTTTATGAAGTTGTATTGAATATAAGCAAAAATAATATATGTGAAATTGAGAATTATATAAATTCAAGTAATGTAGTAGAATGCTCAATTCTTATTCCATAATGTAACTATTTTAATAAATGATGCTATAAAATCAAAATAAATTTATAGAAAGTAAGCCATCATAATTTTATTGTAAACAACATTATCTGCTGTTCTGGTTTTAAAGATAATAGATAATAAACTAAATATGCTCTACTATCTCAATAAAGAAATTAATATAGTGTCACTAAAATTTAAAATCGAATCAATTATTTTTTGTAATTTTTATAATATTTTTATTTCTCTCTAATATTATTTTCACTACTTTAAATCTATTCTTGATTGTAATCAAATACTGTGATTTTTTTAAAAATATAGCATATCAAATAAATAGTGGATTTTACTAGTTAATAGTTTTGATTTATATCAACTTGGAGGAAAAGCATAATTGACTTAATGATATTTTTGAACAAGAAATCATTTGGTGGCATGAAACTCATTTTCTAAGATGTTTAGTAGTCTTAAACAAGAAAGAACACTAAAATTTTGCAATGACTTATAAAACATCAGAAATTCCTAACTTTTATTTTTTAATTTGTAACCCAATACCCAAACCAAAAAGGTTAATCAAGTCTTAGAATATGCTATCAACTAAAATAATTAGATACCTTGAAATGTTTTTTTTTTTTTTTTTTTTTTTTTTTGCAATTTTCGTACAGTTACATTATTTATACCTTTGCCCAACAAACATGTTTTTACTCTTACAGTCATCGTCTTGTTTTAGTAATTGTTTGAAATACAAAAAAAAAAAAAAACAAAAAAAAAACAAAAACAAAAAACAAAACAAACAGAAACAAACAAACAAACAGAAGTTAACAAATCAACATCATAAGATTTTGCAAAACTAGTATTCGAACTATGTTCAACCACGATACTTCATTTACTAGAATTTCAAAAACAAATCAGAATATTTGCAATTGTTCTTAGGAAGAAATAACCTCTCCTTCAAGTTACAAACAAGATTAATCAATCAAGTTAGATCATTAAAAAAGTTAATCCATTTACTAGATTGACGTAAACCAGTTTTGTAGACTACTTGTTCCATAATAATCACCAGAATATACTATTTTTTACAGGGTATTCTCTAATAAACCCAAAAATGTAGACTACATGTACCAACAATTCTTAGCCACGCTTTATTCCAACCATCTCATAATCAACACTTCAACTATTACCAAACCAACCGAAAAAACACAAAGTCCATCCGATTACTTGCATAGAATATCTCAGTATAATCTCAAACATTTATGATTTGAGAAAAGACATCAGCTATTAACAGTTATTATTCTGCTAAAATCTGGTGAATAAACAATTTATTCACACAATGTTGTATGCATTGCTCTTTTTTGTCTGAACAGCAACAGTCACCACCACCATCAATTTTTTAAAAAACCAAACATTAATATTGAAAACAATTAGAAAAAATATTTTGTGGAACCGGCGAGTTAACCTAAACAAACGCCCTATAGTACCCTCTTTCTTTCTTACTAAATTTCAGAACCAGACTTGGATTCCAGTCTCCACTGTCAATATTGACATTAATTGAGGTTGTATAGATGAATTCTGAAGTCAAAACTGTCCGAATCTTTCAAAAGTCGAGACAAAGCTCATTTGCTCCTCACTCGCATCAATAAATCCAAAGGTGGATCAAAAATTACATTCTATGTCTATTATCTTCAAAGGCAGAAGTAGCTTCGGAAGCATCGACCCAGCTTACCGACAAGCGGTGAAATGGAGAAGCTTCTTTGAAGCTTCAGGGTTGACCTAGGTACCGACAAATGAAGTGTCGGTGAAAAGGTTCGGTCACTGCACCTGGTTGTTGTACCAGAGAACGCCGTCCTGGTTCTCAGATTCTACATACACACACTCTCGAAACTCTCGCCACAGTGCAAGGGGCACAGGAGTTTTGTCCATATGGTAGTAGTTGCCGAGAATGGGCTTGATGGCCTTGGTGGCCTCGGCGGCATGGTAGTGCGGCATGGTGGAGAAGAGATGGTGCGCAACGTGAGTGTCGGTGATGCGGTGCATGACATGGTTGAGGATGCCGTAGTCTCGGTCCATGGTGGCGAGCGCCCCTCGGAGCCAGTCCCACTCACGGGAGTCGTAGTGCGGGAGAGATGCGTGCGTGTGTTGCAGGTAAGTGATGAGGACCAGGAAGCCGTTGACGATGAGCAGAGGGATGGCGTACATGTTGACCAGGTACGCCAGCCCCATGGCGGAGTAGAGCTTGTAGAGAAGGCTTGCGACTGCGAGGAGGGCGAGGTCGCTGATGAAGACGAAGAAGCGCTCCCTGTCTGCAAAGATGGGGCTGTGTGTGTTGAAGTGGGAGGCTGGGCGGTCGTACTTCCTCCCGGAGACGTTCCAGATCAGGTACAATGGCCACCCCATGGTGAGCGTGACGATGATCTGGATCAGTCTGCCGGGAGGGTGTTGGAGGTATCTGCCGATCCCGCCGAACTCCTCCTTCACCTTGGGCACAAAGACCTCGTCTTTCTCCACACTTCCGGTGTTGGAGTGGTGCCTGCGGTGGGAGTATTTCCACGAGAAGTATGGCACCAGGAGGAGCGAGTGGAAAACAAGCCCTACGGTGTCGTCCAGCCACTGGTAGTCGCTGAATGCGTGGTGGCCACACTCGTGAGCGATGACCCAGACGCCGGTTGCGACACAGCCCGTGACTACCCAGTAGGCCGTCCACATGGTCCAATTCAGCAGCCCATCGTAGACGAAGAATTTGGTGGAGTAAACGGCGAGGCTGATGTTGGCAAGGTCTAAGATCAAATATGAGAATGACCTCGGGATTGATCTCTTGAAACAGCGGGGAGGGATAGCCCTCTTCAAGTCACCGAGTGTGAAGGGTGGTTTGCTGGACGGCGCTCTCTCCACTTTGCTTACCCTCTCCACTACCTCTAATGCTCTACCTCCTTTCCCCATGTTGCCCTGTCGGAGATTAAATCCTGCTTCAGACACATATTCAATTGGGATTAAGCAATAACTTGAGATAGAATAAAATTTTCCAAGCTTGAAGGATCAGCAAGGACGATTAACTCTCTTCAGCAAAGTTTTTAGTTTTGTTAATTTTTTTTATCTGCTTAAAGGAAATGAAGGAGAATGCTGCCCACATTTCCACTTCATAAGCCCAGTTCTTGCATGCAATCTTTGCCATTAGAAATGTATATTGACGCATGAAATACGAGAGTTTGGCTGAAACTGAACAAATTCGCTCATTCTGCGAATTAGGTGACTTTTGGATGTGGAAATTCAATTAAGTGTCGTCGACGTAGACATAAGACTAGGAGACACGCTTGCAGGTCGAGATATCATTGCTTGCAAAGATCACTCTTCATTTCTGTATAGTGACAATGAAGGGGAACTTGTATGCAAAGATTCTCACAAATTGCAAGAATTTTCTATATCGAACCTCACTCTCTACAGCAATGATGGAATAATATTTCGGCACTGAAAGTGACCGAGTGCAAATAGAGGAGCGTAAAGCCAACTACGAGTTCGTGTATTTTGCTTGTCAGTAAATTGTACGCTGAAATTTAAATTAAAACCGGTGCACATTTCCGACTCACGGTTACCGAAACCTATTGATTTCACAGCTCGTAATGGACAGCCAGAAGGACACAATAACAACAATCTTTACGCCCACAGTCCGTATGCTGTGTGATTAGTACACAATCCCAGACACAAATATCTCAGCAATTTCTTCGTACGTAGTACAATTCCCTTTCGGGGCACCTGCCAACCATTCCCTCTCATCTCTAAACTCGGTTTTCAGCCAATAGTTTGGTGCAATGAAACCCAGAAAAAGACTGACCTTTTCAAGATTGAAAGGATTAGGTCTCCACTTATGCGACCATGCGCTCTAACCCCGTCCTGTTTGCTCCAAATCTATCGTTCTCTGTTTCAGTCAACCGCCAAGTAGTTCCCTGCAAAGACGAACACCCATGTAATCAATCAAAACCTACCTCATTCTCGCCTCCCTTTCTGCACCTGCCGGCCCACCCGATGAAACCTCGTCTAATGACACGAAATGGGAAAAACTTCGCATTGTTGTAAAGCAGCTAAGACAACGACTCCAGTAATTCCTCTGACACAAGCAATCACCTACTACAAACACTCCAAACAACAACACACGCAGCATTGGTAGATCTGACTCTGCAAACGGCGCTGTAGCCTTGCCCTGATCATTCCTGCACAAACTGCTTTGCAAACAAGCAAACACCACCACACAGAACAATTAAAATCATAACCAGGAACAAAAAAAGTGCCTGCTTTCGTCTCTGCAACTGCTGGTGCTCCAAACCAGCAGACTTACCCAGGCCAGAAGCACAACGAAGAGCAACCCAAACCCACACTCTCTCTCTCTCTCTCTCTCTCTCACACACAAACACAGCGAAGGGGGATGGCGACCGTAAGGTGCCAGAGCAGTGCCTTGTCTCGAATGGCGGGCGATCGTACCAACCCAGGCATCGGCGTGGAATCAGTCGCCCCACTCCGACTTTCCTCGTGATGGAATAGACTCGTGGAGCCCGGTCCCAATGCTCCCATTACATCGACGTGACTGCACCCACAGTGGAGTAAACTGTGAGATAACTGTGAGACACCCCAAATCATTCCTCTGCTTGCCCCATTCTCAAAAAATCTCCTCAAGCATGTCTCGGAACTTGCCCTTCCGACCTCGGTGTTGAGACCAGCAACTAGAGGCAACTCCAGCAACAAGCACCTGCTGCTGCCGCGGTGGGTGGGGAGTACCCCACCGTTTGCAGCCACAAATCCACTTTATAGCCCCCCTTTTTTATTAGCTTGATTACGATTCTCCTTTGGATGTTATCTGATTCCGCCTTATTTGTAAACAGTGATGGCATAAATGTTGCAGCGTTTTTTTTGTCTGTTCGACATGACTTTCTTACATTGGTTAGTGCTTGACACCATCTCTGGATAGAACTTCAACCCTATGCGGCATATCTTAGTGGCCAAATTTGCCAATCAAAATATTGTAGAAAGTATTCTATGTTTTGAAATAGTTGTCAAGCATTGTCTCATCATACCCAAAATTCGTAAGATTACGAAAAATGAAGTGGACGATCATCCTAAGAGCTGGACATGATCCAATTGATGTGAGTGGTCTTGCTGGATAATATTTATCAGTAACGTGAGAGTTAAGCTACATTATTTTGGTCATTTGAAAGTCTGAGCTATAAAACTAATCATATCTACACACTTCAAGTACTATCATCTTGAAGAAGGAAGCTTATACAATAACTAAAATGATGATACTTTTGTTGCTATTTGTAAAATTGTTTATTCAAAAACTAAAAATATTGATACTGTCCAAGTTTCTATGATATACATTAATGTTCAAAGCACAAACATTTAGCACTTAATCATGCCAATAATAATTTTTAACAAACCTATGTTGTTACACCATGTCAGTGTGCAAAAGAACAGATAAAAAAGCACAGCAAAATGTATCGTTTTCACAAAAAAACAAAACTTTAAAATGTTTGGATGCCTTCGTTCATCAATCTATTAAAAGAATTAAAATTCTAAAAAATACAATATTGAATTCCAAAATACAAGAATTTGGCAAATGTTACAAATAAAAGGTTTAATTTATATTAAGAAAATTAATCTTATTTGAAATTGCTTTATAAATGCATTTAAATAGTAATATACGTATATATTAAGTATTTTTTTTTCCTAAAATAATATGAGTGACATAATATTGTGTTGTAACACAACTATAAAGTGAAAAAGAAAAATGTAAACTATAGTTTAGAAAAACATGGATAAAAGATAGGAAGATAGTAAATATATTTAGTGTCAATGATGTTATTTTATAAAAAGGTTTCTACTTAATGTGTAGGGTCATTAACAAGATAAAATAAAGTAGATTAAAAAAAATAATATATGTATCTTTAGAAAGAAATTAAGAGTAATTTCTTACAAAAATTACCTTTAAAAGCTACAAATTGATATTTGGAGAAGACCAAGTATGAACTAGGGTCAAAATTAGACCCCAAGTTACAAAATCAACCATCTACAATAATTTTGAGGTTATTTTGTCAATCAAAGAAGATAGTTAGAATATTGACTTTCTAAAATTTGGTTTAGTATTGATTTTTATTTTGTGATTTGGATAAATATTGAATTTTGAGAATTTTTCTAAGAAAGAGATGTTCTAAGTAGTTTGGGTTTTTGAGAAATAAAAGAGAATATATATGTTTAAAAATTATATGAGTATTTTAGCATATTGACAGGTCAAAATATGTACACTTATAAAACTATTTTTTTTGAATTTGTTTTGTGAATTTTAACTCAAACTAATGGTTAATTCAAAGGTTATTAAAATCCAATTGGAATACAGTTTCAAAATTTGGATTTCAAATGTTAATAATAATTTCTTTGATCTTGAGTAATCTATTTGTTAGATTAAAGCAATTTTTTTTTTTTTTTTTTTTTTTTTTTTTTAGAATTTTTAGAATTTTTTTTGTATAATTTTATAAATATTTTTAGGATATCTTTAGGATTTTTTAAAGATTTTTTAAAGATTTTTTAAGGATTTGGTTAGGATTTATTTAGGATTTTATTAAGATTATTAACTTTTTTTAGGCTTTGTTTTCTTAGGATTTGATTAGAATATTTTTTTGGTTTATTTAGCAATTCTTATGAATTTCTTTATAACTTCTTTAGGATTTATTTGAGATTTCTTTTTAAGTTAATATAATTTCTTTTATATTTTTTATGAACTACTTAATGATTCTTCTAGAATTTAATTAAATTTCTTTAATAACTATTAAAGTTTAATTAATGTTTATTTAGAAGTTTATTAGGATTAATGAGTTATTTTTTTGTTGCAAATATAATTTATCTTTCACAACTAGATGCCTAATGCATTCTTAACTTAATTTTTATATAATACAACAACAAAGTTATAAAAACATTCATTTATATATAAACTTTTGTATATTAGCATGAAAAATATTAAATTTATTTTAGGAATAGCTAGTTAAAGAAAATAATAAATAATATGACCTAAAATATTATCCTAATGTTATCTTTATTCTTTTTTATTATTTCAATGTATGCCACTGCAAGAATCAATTATCATAAGATTTGGAAGAAAAACCACATTTAGATACTATAAAATAATAACATTGTTATACTTTAAAATTCATAAAATATATTTTTAAATTTTTTTATAGCTTGAGTAGTTTTATAAAAATACATAAATACATTAAAAATTTGGCATTTATTTTGATATAATATTTATACTTCATATTTTATTTTAAATCAAAAAATATACTGATCATTTATTATTCTTAATTCCACATATACATAAATCACTTAATTACTTTTTATCTTTTTAGTCTTTAAAAGATTTAAAATATTTTATTAAAAAATTATAAAAAAATTCTTTAATTCAAAAGCTATAGTTGAGTTATTATTATTATTATTATTATTATTATTATTATTTATTTGATATATTAAGATATAAATTTATTATAAATAATTTAATTTATGATTAATTATTTTTTTATATTTTTTTATCTACAAATTATAACAAAAAAGCCTAAATAAAATAGATAATTTTAGATCTTAATCTTAAAACTAAGTAAGTAGTAATATATAAAAGAATAAATTTATAGAATAATTAAATAAATATACACACTATTTCTGAGATTTATTATGATTTTATTCTTAATCTTTGTTGAATTATAAAACTCTTATGACTTAAGCAATTATTTAAATATTTGTCACAAATTCATGTAGTTATTCCAATAATTACTCATATAATTAGATAGAAATAGATAAAGTAGATTAATTTTATAATATCTTTTAGAAAAGCTTCTTAGAAGCTTGATAGATGCAATTTTGACTTTAAACAAGTTTGAAGTTGATTAATAGGTTAAAAACTAAATCAATAAGTCAATTCTATATTAATAGCTTATAAAACAAGTTAAATATATGGCACATATGTAGAAAACTTGCCTATCAAGTTGAGATACATGTCTTGCAAAGTCAATACATAATAGAGGACTTATAAAATATTGCTACATAACTTCTAGTTAGATACTATATGTAGAAGCAAGAGTGAAGCCTTTTTCACTCTTGTCAATGCCTTTCTAGTCTGTAGTCTTGTTTCAAGACTTTTTAATCTTCTTGTCTTTAACAATAGCCATTCTAGTTTAATATACTACCTTTTTAAGTAATTTTTTAGATTTTTTTAGTGACACAAGAGTATATTAAGATTTTCTTTCGACAAGATTTATGTCTTTGGCAATTTGATAAAAGTGCTAACTTATTGTTCTTGTCTTGTTTTAAAAGTCAGTGGATTATTCCACTCTTATTGTTGTATTTTGAAGGTTGCGGATTACCTACCTTTAAAAAAATTATTTAGTTTTCTAACATTGATTTTTTCTTTAAAGAGAGTGGGTTACACGTCTTTGTGGAAATTTTTATTCAATATTAGAGGTTGTGGATTATCCTCTTCTAATTTGACTTGTGGATTTGTTAAGTTATTTGAAATGGAAGAAAAAATCACGGATGCTATATTTGACAAAATTGAAAATAGATTTGTAACTATTGCAAATTTTTACAAACTTATTAGCACTCTTAGAGTAGAAATTTCATACATTACTAGCACTAACCATAGAAATACTAATCATACATCTATAAAATAAGTTTGGAATCTGTATCAAGAAGTTGTGAAGTTAAAAGAATCAAGTAGATTGATATCACAATCAATTCTAAGAAGTTTTGCTTCTACATGTATGATGAATTAGTATGCATAATAAGTTTGATGGAATGAGATCAAAATTTTGAGGATTTTTCTACCAAGTCAAGCTTTATGTAAGATTGCATTCCTTCTAAAAATTTGATGGATTTACTCAAGTTGGATTCATAGGTACACTTCTATGTGGAAGTATTCTCTCTTCAATTACATTATTAATAGACAAGAATTTACGACTCTTTTGTAATTTGAATTCATTCTTAGAAGTATTTATGGGTATATTTGAAAAAAATAATAAAAAAAAGAGTAGCATAAATCAAGCTCTTATCTTTAAGATAAAAATTATAATCACCTACCATTTATATTGCTGAATTCCAAAACCTCACTTGTAATGTAGATTGGAATAAAAAGCTTTTATCAATCAATTTTGATATGGATTGAAGGATAAAATCAAAGATTTGTTATTGTCAAGGATATGAATTTCGAAGAAAGAAAATCCTCAATATATTCTTGTATTACTCAAAGGAACTAGAAAGTCACTCAAAGATATTATAATATTGAAATGGAATGGCTATTGCCAAAAATAAGAAGACTAGAAAGACTTGAAAGAAGACTAAGGACTAAAAAGACATTGACAAGAATAAAGAAGGCTTCAGTCTTGCTTCCATATATACTCTTTATTAGGAGCTACCTCGCAATGTCCTACACGACCTCTAAAATGCATTGACTTTGCTAGCCACATGTCTTAACTTGCAAAGATAAGTTATCTATATATGTGCCACATAGTTAGCTTGTTCTAAAAGCTATTATACGGAGTTAACTTGTCCCAAAAGCTACCAACATGTGGTTAATTTATTGACTAAGTTTTTATCCTATAAATACATCTAAAATCAAAACCGCATCTATGAAGCTTCCAAAAAGCTTCACTAAAAGACTTTATGAAATTAATCTATATTTACCTATTTTTACTTAATCATATAAGTAATTATTGAAATAAATGAATATGTTCATGATA